GCAGGAGAATCACTTGAACCCAGGAGGCAGAGGTTGTAGTGAGCCGAGATCGCGCCATTGCACTCCAGCCTGGGTGACAGAGCAAGACTCTGTCTCAAAAAAAAAATTATTATTACTGTAAATGAGAGGAAAACAGCTTTGGGAAATGACTCTTTTCTCAGCACAAAAGTCCATGGAATAGTAATTAGAACCAGGTATTGGGAAGACCATATATTTAAGGATAGCAGAGTATCCTGAGGCAGGGACTTGGTGACTGGACTGGACATTACTGTGACTGAAAGGAGCCCTCACTACTGCCCTAGCCCCTGAGGCTGGTCACCTCTTTTGTAAAGGGAGCTGGGCAGCATGAGCTCCGAGGCTTCTTCCAGCCCACCCAGCCATGTTCCACGTCCCGGCTGGACTGGGCAATTCTGGTCTTCCCTTGGGCCCTGCCCAGACAGAGCTGGAGGGTGGGCTGATTCACTGAGCAGTCAGGGGGTGAGGGGGTCCAAGCCTAGAAGCCCTGAGTTCAAGTTCCTTCTGCTGATTGGGCCTTAGGCAAGTTCAAGTTCCTTCTGCTGTGTGGCCTTGGGTGAGATCCCTTCTCTGGGCCTTCAGCTCGTCATCTCTCTACAGTGGAGCTAACAGCAACCTTGAAAGGCTGTCATGTTGTCAGCAGGAGGCCAAGGTGCGGCTGGCGCCTTTCACTGGGGTGGGCAGGACACTGAGCCCATTGGGAGGAACCCTTAAAAGGGGTGCATCTGACATCTTTGACTGGAAAATAAAGACAGATCTGAAAGAGATGTAAGCCTCTAGGGGCAGCTCTGCTTGGACCAAATATAGTTAAACATTTGGGACATAGTTTCCATTACATTTTTTTTTTTGTCTTTGCATAAGAGCAGCTATTTATCCAAGTCCCCAAAGCAGGCTGGGGACAAGAAGCTGTCTGTGATTCATGCTGGATGCTAGTGGACCTGGAGTGTGTCCAGGCCGGCTTGGCTGCCAGCGGCCCTCGGAGAGAAGTGTTTGACTGTAAATTCAGCCAGGGTTGGGGGCATGCCCTCTCACAGTGGATGCTGCCAGGAGGGTAGAGAGCATCCCAGCTCTCCTAAGGGGGTCTTCTTTAGGGTCACTAGGGCAGGGGATACCTAGGGAAAGGTGATAACCAAGTGCACTTACCCATGTGGGCCAATGACACAGGCAGGTTGGGGTGGGGAGAATGACTGCCAACATGGCCACGAGGTCCTCTGCATGCCTGGCCACTGCTGCTTTCTCAGATTTGAGATCATGAGAACCATATATATAAAAAGGTAACAGCTCAAGAAATTCAAATAAGGTCACTAGTTTGGTTCATAGAACCGTATCAATGTAAGTTTCTTTGTGATCCTTGGGCTGTGGTTGTGTTAGGTGATGACATTGGGGTAAGCTGAGTGAAGAGTACACAGGAACTCTGTACTGTTTTACAACTTCTATGTCAGTCTAAAGTTGTTTGAAAATAAAAAGTAAAAAAAAAAAAAAAAAAGAAAAAACCCTGGGAATGTGATTCTGCCCAATTAACTTTGGAACACCATGGTTCCCACTGCCCTCACCAGGCATGTACGGGGAGCCAGGCCCTAGGCCCAGGGGGGCCCATCCAGTCTTTACAGAGCCCTGGGAGATGGGACTTTTTTTTTTTTATTGCATTTTAGGTTGGGGTACATGTGAAGAACATGCAAGATTGTTGCAGAGGTACACACATGGCAGTGTGATGTGCTGCCTTCCTCCCCATCACCTATATCTGGCATTTCTCCCCATGCTATCTCTCCCCAACTCCCCACCCCCTGCTGTCCCTCCCCTAGTTCCCCCCCAGACAGTGTGTGATGCTCCCGTCCCTGGGTCCATGTGTTCTCATTGTTCAACACCTACCTATGAGTGAGAACATGCAATGTTTGATTTTCTGTTCTTGTGTCAGTTTGCTGAGAATGATGGTTTCCAGGTTCATCCATGTCCCTACAAAGGACCCAAACTCATCGTTTTTGATGGCTGCATAATATTCCATGGTGTATATGTGCCACATTTTCCCTATCCAGTCTATCATCGATGGGCATTTGGGTTGGTTCCAGGTCTTTGCTATTGTAAACAGTGCTGCAGTGAACATTCATGTGCACGTGTCCTTATAGTAGAAGATTTATAATCCTTTGGATATATACCCAGTAATGGGATTGCTGGGTCAAATGGAATTTCTATTTCTATGTCCTTGAGGAACCGCCACACTGTCTTCCACAATGGTTGAATTAATTTACATTCCCACCAACGGTGTAAAAGTGTTCCTATTTCTCCACATCCTCTCCAGCACCTGTCGTCTCCAGATTTTTTAATGATCGCCATTCTAACTGGTGTGAGATGGTATCTCAATGTAGTTTTGATTTGCATTTCTCTGATGACCAGTGATGATGAGCATTTTTTCATATGTTTGTTGGCCTCATGTATGTCTTCTTTTGTAAAGTGTCTGTTCATATCCTTTGCCCACTTTTGAATGGGCTTGTTGGTTTTTTTCTTGTAAATCTGTTTTAGTTCTTTGTAAATTCTAGATATCAGCCCTTTGTCAGATGGGTAAACTGCAAAAATTTTTTCCCATTCTGTTGGTTGCCGATTCACTCCAATGACTGTTTCTTTTGCTGTGCAGAAGCTGTGGAGTTTGATTAGGTCCCATTTGTCTATTCTGGCTTTTGCTGTCAATGCTTTTGGTGTTTGGGTCATGAAGTCCTTGCCTAGGCCTACGTCCTGAATGGTTTTGCCTGGATTTTCTTCTAGGGTTTTTATGGGGTCAGGGCTTACGTTTAAGGCTTTAATTGAGATGTTAAATGAGCTCACGTCAGGCACTTCACACAGCGCCAGAGACAGGAGGAAAGGCTTGGAAATGTCAGCAATATTATCATAGTATTCTCATTTTAAAAGGAGGAAACAGCCTCAGAGAGCTGAAGTGATTTGGCCAAGTCACGCAGCTAAAAAGTAGCTGACATTGGGCTTAGTTCCACGGTCTCCAACTGAAAACTTTTGACTACACTAGACTCCCCTGCTGTCATGTTGACAAGTGACAAGGATCATTTGTAAAACCTTCTCCGAACTTTTTTTTTTTTTGAGACAGCGTCTCATTCTGTCACCCAGGCTGGAGTGCAGCTCACTGCAGCCTTCGCCTCCTGGGCTCAAGCGATTCTCTTGCCTCAGTCTCCCGGGTAGCTGGGATTACAGGCGCCCACCATCATGCCCAGATACATTTTTAATTGTTGTAGTCAGGGGGTTTCTCCATGTTGGCCAAGCTGGTCTTGAACTCCTGACCTCAGGTGATCTACCCACCTCAGCCTCCCAAAGTGCTGGGATTACAGGGGTGAGCCACTGCGCCCAGCCCTTCTCGAAATTTCTAAATGGGGTCTGACTGCCATCCCTCCATCGTATTGTGTACTTCTCTTTTCCCTTGTCTCTTCTCCCACTGGGGGCAGGAGGATGGTCGGAGGGGAAGAGGGTAGGAAAGCTTGGGGCTCTGGGATGGAGGGACTGGCAGTGCAGCTCCTGAGCCAGCCTGTGCTGCTAACAGGGTCCTGGGGCCACACACTTGACTCCATCCTGCTGGTTTTGTGTTTGGGCCCAGCACACAGTTCCACCCCCGAGGCGTGGTCTGTGTGTGACCATTGATGCTGAGCCCTGCAGGTGGGGCAGCAACTCCTTGGTGGGAGGTTCTGCTTGTAGCTTCCATGTGGGTGAGAACCAAGGACTTTCCAGTGGTCCCAGCCCCAGAGCAGCTCCTAAGGTCCCCAAGGCCCCACAAGGGTCTAGCACAGAGGGAAGCTCAAACTTAGGTCCAAAGCACTGTGTCTGACCCAGCTGACCGTCTGTGTTGTAGAGGACACCTACAGCTCCGAGGAGACTGTGGACCACCAACCTGTCCACCTGAGGGTCATGGACACTGCAGACCTGGTAACATTACCCCCATCACCTATGCACTGCTACAAATCAGTGTCGCCTCCTGAGAAGTCCTGGCCCAGAGTATGTGTCCTCAGATGGGCATTTAGATGCCTTTTAAGCTCAAGTTTGCTGTGTAACCCTGAATGAGGCACTTGACCTCTTTGGCCCTGAATCCTTCCTTTACCAAATGAGAAGGATGGGTCAGGGCCTGGAGAGACCTGATGGTTGCTGGCATCTGCTCTGAGATCCTGTGCTATGGGGCACTGTGCTAGTGCACATGAGGAGGCAGGAGCAGACCTGTTTACACAGACGCTCCTGGTGAGAGCCCCTCAGCCCAGGTCCCTCCCACACACAAATCTCCCCCCATGTCCTTGCTACGCCCTGCCAAGGCTGGATGCCAGTTACTCTCAGAACCCAAAGGGGCAGCATGAACTTGACCCAAAACCAGTGGTGCCCAGGGACAGCCAGGTCTCTGTAGGGTCCATGCCAGAGTCTTTGGCTCTGTGCCCAAGGGGGCAAGGTCTCCCAGTCTCTGGCTGGATGGTGGGAGGGAGGTTCATGAGACAATGTCTCCTTTCACACCAAGCCAAATCCACAGTCAAGCGCCCCTTTGAAAGGGCTGTGCTGAGGAACAACATACAGAGACGCGGGTAGTGGGGAGGTGGGATTGGGTGGCTCAGGTGAAGGCCTTTGCCCTAACCTCCTCTGCCCCTGGTGGGGATTCTCTCCTTCACCCCAGGACACCCCCAGGAACTGTGAGCGCTACCTGAACTGGGCCCACGCCTTCCTGGTGGTGTACAGCGTCGACAGCCGTGAGAGCTTCGAGGGCAGCAGCAGCTACCTGGAGCTGCTTGCCTTGCACGCGAAGGAGACGCAGCGCAGCTTCCCTGCCCTGCTGCTGGGCAACAAGCTGGACATGGCCCAGTACAGGTGAGCACGGGCTGCTTGGCCCTTGTCTCTGGAGCTCGCTTTCTTCGCTTGTAAGGGCAGGTGGCATCTTCAGGGATCGGGGGGCTGCTAAGAACGGTCATCCCTTTGAATTGAGGTAGTAGGGATTATACGTTCGTTTGTTTGTTTTCTGAGACTGAGTCTCCTCTGTTGCTCAGGCTGGAGTGCAATGGCACCGTCTTAAGCTCACTATAACCTCTGCCTGCCGGGTTCAAGTGATTCCCCTGCCTCAGCCTCTCCAGTAGCTAGGATTATAGGCGCCTGCCACCACACCTGGATAATTTTTTTTATTTTTAGTAGAGACAGGGTTTCACCATGTTGGCTAGGCTGGTTTTGAACTTCTGACCTCAGATGATCCGCCTGCTTCGGCCTTCCAAAGTGCTGGGATTACAGGCCTGAGCCACCGTGCCTGGCCGAAGGGATTATGTTGTAAGGATGTGGTAGATGTTGGTCTTCCAGGCAGCCAAGGACTTGAAGGGAAAGGTTTCTGGGTCACACACGGGCTGTACCCTGAAAGTCAGAGTCCACTCCTTCCACCCTCTTGGGTCTCTGGGCTCTCTTGGACTCACCCTTCTTGCCTGAGTCTGTATGACCTTCTGGCCCCACTCCCAGCAGCTGACTGACTGGTCTGGTGCCCAATTCCAATTTTAAGGAGAGAGGCTCTGGTTGGCTCCTTGGTCAGGTGTCTTGCTCTGGTCCAACTGGCTCTCGCCTCACCCAGCCCCAGCCCCCCAGGCTCACTCCCGCGGTTGGCTGGGCTGAGGGCAGGTTCTCTTAAAACGGTTGGACTCGAATCAGAGGTCATAGACTGGGCCAGAGGGCGCATGACTGAAGAACACCGCAGTGGTATTTTGCTTGGCTGGCACAGTGTTTTACAAGACCTAGAACTGGAATGCTTTGAGGTGGGACATACTTTCTCCAGCCGCCCTGTGCTTTACCTCCACCCTCTCCACACATTCAAGTTGCCTGCCTGGCCCTGAGGCGTTTGACTCTGCGATGCCTGTAATTGATGAGTAATGCCGCTGGATTTCTCCAACACTGACCTTGGTTCTATGTGGCCGGTCTACCTGCAAGAGGTAGCCCCTTCCATCAGCCAGGCATCCCTCCCCGCTCTCACTGGTCAGTCTTGCTTCCCGAGGCCCCAGGGGCACATTGACTGGTGTTAACAAGTAGGGGACCCTTTGTTTCAAAGGGGTCAGATGGGCCATGGGAAAAAGAGAGGTGTGGGATCGTGAAGGGGGACTTTGGTAAGAGGCCTTCGAAGGTGGCCAAGCCCTCAGACCCAGGCAAATTGCTTCTCAGGGAATGAGAGAAGTCGTGTGACCTGAAAGCTGTTGAAGGTAGCCTTTGAGGAATCACAGGATTGTGACCAGTTTTTAGTACAGGGAAAAAAATTACAGATCACTTTCTTGACCCCAATCTTTGCCAAAGGGATTGTCTAAAATAGTTTGGGAGCAAATAACAAAGAATACATGCTCAAATGAAGCTGATCCCACCCCTTCCCTAAAAACAACTTAGGACGACCAGGCACGGCGGCTCATGTCTGTAACCCTAGCACTTTGGGAGGTCAAGGTGGGTGGATCACGAGGTCAGGAGTTCAAGACCAGCCTGGCCAAGATGGTGAAACCCCATCTCTACTAATATACAAAAATTAGCCGGGCATAGTGGCGGGCACCTGTAATCCCAGCTACTTGGGAGGCTGAGGCAGAGAATTGCTTAAACCCAGTAGGCAGAGGTTGCAGTGAGCCGAGATCGTGCCACTGTACTCCAGCCTCGGTGACAGAACAAGACTCCGTCTCAAAAAACAACCAAAAAAAAACCCCAATTTATGACAATGTATCCCGATTTCATTCTTCGACCAAGTCCCGAGTTCAGTAGATTAGGATTCCAGGAAGCGCAGGAAATCTAACTTTTTGCTGAGCGTTGGTCACTGTCTCCCATGACTGTCTCACAGCTAAAAGGGTAAAATGTGGGTTAGGGTGGTGCTTCCCAAGCCACTGATAAAATTTTCCCTAGGATATAACAAAATAAGACAAAGGACGATGTCCTGTGCCTCCGTCACACACTCACACGTGCGTGCAAACACAGGGTTTGTGTTGGTGAGAATTCATTCTTCCAGCTGCAGATTCAAGCTCATCATAAAAATAAACAATAGCAAGTATTCTTCCCAGAAGGGTTCCTTAGGAAGTGGTGAGCTTTCTGACAGAACACCACTCCCGGGTGGAGCGTGGATTCGATGCCTCTGACTCTTTTAGTTCCAGTCATTCTCTCTCTCTGTCTCTGAGACTCCCCCCACCGATGGAGTGGCACCCTGGGCAGCTAGCCCATTCTCAGACCCTGCTCCTGCCAGGTCAGCCTTGGCTCAGAAGCTTTCCCCACCATGGCCCACTCAAGTGCCTCCTCTCATCTGGCGGCTGTGCCATCATCCTTGGGAATGGGCAGTGTCTGCTCAGCCATAGGTCAGAAAGATCCCGTCAGTGGAATCTCAGCCCCAAGACCTCAGGGGCCCCCGTCTCTTTCCTCTTCTAGACACCTGACCTACCTGAGGGCCAGCCTTCTTTTTCCTGCCACCTCAAGTCCCACGGCTTTCAGTCCAGAAGCCTCCAGGACCTTCCCGAGTTTCAGATACTCAATCCTCCCCTCACGGGAGGTGGTGTTGAACCAAATTGGAATAGGTGTTGCCCCCTCTCTCCTTTTGCCCTCCTCACCATGAAATGTTTTCACCCCTGCTCACTCTTGCCCTGAGAACACCCCAGGAGCCCTGAGAACTCCGCCAACCGCAGGCTTCTGGAATCACCTCTATGGCCTGACCCTTCAGTGCAAATGACCGCCTCTCTCTAGAGCTGATCCCACAAGCCAGAGCTGTGGGTGGCCTGTTTCCTGCCCCAGGGACCCATGTTGGGGTAGAGAAGAGATGGAGCTGGGAATGGCCTGCTTCCTCCAGCCACAGGCAGGGTCTAGCACGGGCAATTTGGAACAGCTTCTTACCCTCATCCTCATCCTGAAATTCTGGCTTGGGCGGCATCAGCCACCATTTATTGAGCACTGAATCTGTGCCAGGTACAAATTGTCTTTTGTAATCCTAACAACCCTGAGAGGCAGAGGTCAGTAACCCATTGTACTGATGAGAACACGGAGACTCAGAGAGATGAAGATGATCTCAGACCACCCAGCTAGTCCGTGGGGCACTGGGTATAGGAGCTGGTCTGCCCAACTTGGCACAGCCTGCTCCTAACTCCCTGCCTCACCCTGCTTCCTCACCAGGCAAGTCACCAAGGCAGAGGGTGTGGCCTTGGCAGGCAGGTTTGGGTGCCTGTTTTTCGAGGTCTCTGCCTGTCTGGACTTTGAGCACGTGCAGCACGTCTTCCACGAGGCAGTGCGAGAGGCACGGCGGGAGCTGGAGAAGAGCCCCCTGACCCGGCCCCTCTTCATCTCTGAGGATAGGGCCCTGCCCCAGCAGGCCCCGCTCACCGCCCGCCATGGGCTGGCCAGCTGCACCTTCAACACGCTCTCCACTGTCAGCCTGAAGGAGATGCCCACCGTGGCCCAGGCCAAGCTGGTCACTGTGAAGTCATCCCGGGCCCAGAGCAAGCGCAAGGCACCTACCCTGACCCTCCTGAAGGGCTTCAAGATCTTCTGAGGGCCCCTCCCCAGGAACTCTGGGCTCGGTGGCTGGACAGGGCTTCAGCAGGACAGGGGCTGGCTTCTTACCACCAGCCTTTCCCTCTGATGGACACCAGACCCCGCCTCCAGCACCAAGCAGTGTCTACATTCAGTTCCCTGTGTGAGCTGGAGTGGCAGGCAGGGATGCTGCTTCTGTTCCCTCCAGGCCTTGCTCTTCATGGTAACCACCACATCTGTGGCCCTGGAGGGAAACGGCCACTGCGACAACCCAGAGACCTGGGGTCAGCCTTAAGTAGGAAGAAATTGCAGTGTCCATCCTGCTGCCATCAGCCTTTCCTGCTGCAGCTGCAGATGGGCCAGCTGTGGCCCTCCGCGGAAGGTCTGGGTGGACAGCTCTGTCAATGTCAGGCCTGAGAACGGCCTGCAGAATGACCGCTCTGGGGTCCCTGTGCCACCTGGTGGACGGGACAGGCAGGGCGGCTGCAGCGTCAGAGGCCAGAGCCAGGCCCTGCCGTCGTCTGCTGACTTCACAGAAGGCCCAGGCTACAAATTCCACAGTTTATCCAAGGAAAGTCTAGTTAAAATAATCCAGTGGGCCGCCTGGGCGGGGCAAAGAGGTCCAAGGAAGGGGTATTTCCAGCACTTGGCCTCTCAATGAGGGTAAAAGGGAGGGGCTGTCCAATGTAAGGAACTCCAGAGTTCTTTCACCAGCAGAGGCCCCATGCTTTCCCACTGTTAAGGACTCTGTCCGTAGAACCTCAGGGCCAGCTCCCTCAAGTTTAATGGTCAGGCTTTGGAAGAAAGTCGTCACTCCAGTGAGTTACCCAGGGCTCCAGGGAGCCCACAGCAGCATCAGACCCATCCAGGGGTACAGGGCATGCCTCCTTGCAGATGGAAAAACAGTAAAGCTGTTTGTCTTCTGGTTTGGCAGGACCCAGGACCCTCAGCAATGGGTCTGAGTGTTCAAAGCCCACTTTAGAACCTAAATCATTTTGGGTTAATAAAGCAAATTTTTGTGTATGTTATTTGGTGGTGTCACCACAGCTTATATACCAGAATACCATGGGATCAGGACACTCCTCTGGGACCCCACCGTCGGCAAGAAAAGGCCTTCCGAGGCAGGCAGTGTGGTAGTTATCTGATTTTGTTTACCACACACCAAGTCCAAAGGAAGTGTTGCACAGATTCTTAGCAGATAAGCAGGGAAAGGAGAGGGCCCTGGGGGGTGGAAGGATTGGGAAGGGGATTCTGAGCCTGGAATCCTGCCCTTCCTCTCTTAGCAGTCTCAAGACAGCTGTTGGATTGCAAACAGCGTCTCTGACCCAGTCTTCAGCCTCATTCTGTAAACGGAGGAGCTGAGGTCAGAGGGGGTTGTGAACTGTTAAGACCACATGCTGAGAGTCCTAGCCAGGCTTCCTGACACGCAGGCCAGATACGGATTTTGCACTTTTGCTCCAAGCCACTTGTGTGTGTGTGTGTGTATCACCACCCTCTGAACAAACTGTAATACCACCCGCTCACTTCCAGGAGCATTTTAATAAAAGATTTTTTTAATAACAGAATTTTAGTTTGCTTGCAGTTCATTCATCGTATCTGCTTTAAAAAAAAAAAAAAAAAAAAAAGCAGGCTGCTTGGGAGAGGCTGTAAAATCTGAGGTTTCAGGCCACTGAGCTGAGCCCAGATCATGTGCCTGGCTTAGGGTGGGGCTTCTCTGACCCCTCACTAGCTCTCAGTTTCTGGTACATCTGGAAGGAAAACTGACAGCACATCTCTCTCTTTTAACTCAAGTTCCACCGGCTTTTCTGAGAGCAGAGTCTCTCTGAGGTTGTTTAGGCTGTTGTGATCCTTGGTTCTGGCCTCATCCAAATGTAGGACTTCTGGAGTTTCTTTTTCTGGTGACTGCATCTTTTGACTTCTAGGGGAACAGGGGACAGTGTTAACCAGGGAGGCTGAGTGGTTGGGGCAGGACTGGGTGTCCCAAATGCCTTAAAGAGTCTCAGGGGAAAATCCTATATGCAGTTTGGGAGCTACGGTGTGCAGGGTGGGGGAAGAAGCAGCAATGTTGGATATTCCTTCAACAGAGAAATGGCTTATGCTTGTGTGTGTGTCATCTCAAGGAATCCTTACTGTCACCTGTGAGCTCATTGCCACCCCACACCTTCCAAGTGAGGAAACCCTCAAGGAGGCTGGAGGCAGTGGCTCACGCCTGTAATCCCAGCACTTTGGGAGGCCGAGGCTGGTGGATCACTTGAGGCCAGGTATTTGAGACCAGTCTGGCCAACATGGCAAAATCCCATCTCTACTAAAAATACAAAAATTAGCTGGATGTGGTTGTGTCTGTAATTGCAGCTACTTGGGAGGCTGAAGCAGGAAAGTGGCTTGAACCTGGGAGGCAGAAGATGGTGCCCGTGAGCTGAGATTGCACCATTGCACTCCAGCCTGGGCAACACAGAGAGACTCAGTCTCAAAAATAAATAAATAAAAGAGCCGAATGGTGCACATAACTGGGGTGTGCACTTCAGCCTCCTGACTCTGGGTCCCGTGTTCTTTTCACCCAACCACACTGTACAGGTCCTTGTCACCACAGACCTCATCCCTCACACCACTGCAGGACATTTCTAAGTAATCTCTGCCTCTGGGTGTTTCCTTCTCCAAACCAGCCTCTGCACAACACCAGCTGTGTTTCTAAAACCCCATCGTGTACACATCACTCCCCTCCCACAGCTACCTTCACTGGCTCCCACTGCCCACCTCCTTAACCTTGTAATGACTCCCACGCGTCTGTCCTCTCTCCAGATTGGTTTTATTCAAGATACTGCTAGACTTCCTGGCCACAGTGGAGGGACCCAGCGGTGGTAAGCTGTCTGCCCAGAGATTCTGGCTGGGTCGTAGGGGAAACAGGTGTGCTGTGCCCGTGGACGGCCACTCATCCCTGAGTTGACCTTGCTGAGGTGCATGTGTCCTGACGGTGAGAGCGGCAAGCTCCCCTTCTGAATGGCTGCGCTCCTCCAAGTCTTGGCTGCCTACTGTCCAGGGCCAGGGGTGGTCATCAGGGACTGATGTTGTTGTTTTGAGATGGAGTTTTGCTCTTGTTAACCAGGCTGGAGTGCAATGGTGAGATTCTGGCTCACCGCAACCGCGCCACCTCCCAGATTCAAGCGATTCTCCTGCCCCAGCCTCCCTAGTAGCTGGGATTACAGGCATGCGCCACCACGCCCTGCTAATTTAGTGTTTTTAGTAGAGATAGGGTTTCTCCATCTTGGTCAGGCCGTGCTCGAATTCCCGACCTCAGGTGATCCGTCCACCTTGGCCTCCCAAAGTGCTGGAATTACAGGTGTGAGCCACCGTGTCCGGCCCTGTTGCTGTTTTTTTTTTTTTTTTTTTTTTTTTTTTTTTTTTTTGTTTTTTTTTTTTTTTTTTTTTTTTTTAGCAGCTTTGGGCTCTTGAAGGACCCTGAAGGCTGAATTTTGCTGTCCCAGAGGGTGGACAGCCATGATCCCTAAGTGACCCCTCTCTAGATTTCCCTCTGGGAGGGCAGGGCCTATTCCCCTCAGAGACCACCCTATGTCCCCAGGACCAGCTCCTCACCTGCTTGCCTGGATGCTCCTTCCCAGGAGGACCATGCTTATCATGACCACCACAGCCGCCAGGGCAAGGATGGAATGATTCCAGGGAGATGCTGTGGAGGGACACACAGGACAGAGCCCTGAGGAGCAGCCAGGCACCTCTCAAGCCCACTAACAGCTGGGGCCTGGGCTGAGACCCAGCTTACAGCATCAACTCTCCCTTGCTGCGGAGGCCCTAATCAAGACTAGCCGCTTGCCCTGGGGCACTCCCAGCCTAACAGGTAGGAGGGTGGAAGACACAGTCTACACTAGAGAAGCCCTAATCTAATGGAGGAGACAGTACTGCAGTTAAACAATAGTGGGGCAACAGGGGGGAAGGGCAGGGGAGAGGTGGGCCAAGATAAACTTTACAATCTTCAGTTTTGCCAGGGGCTGGCCCTCTGTGTAGCACAAGGAATAGAAAGAAGGCTGGGCACAGCGGCTCACACCTATAATCCCAGCACTTTGGAAAGCCAAGGCAGGTGGATCGCCCGAGGTCGGGAGTTTGAGACCAGCCTGGCCAACATGGTGAAACCTCATCTCTACTAAAAATACAAAAATAGAGGCTGGGTGTGATGGCTGACGCCTGTAATCCCAGCACTTTGGGAGCCTGAGGCGGACAGATCGCGAGGTCAGGAGATCGAGACCATCCTGGCTAAAACGGTAAAACCCCCTCTCTACTAAAAATACAAAAAGCTGGATGTGGTGGCGCACACGTGTAGTCCCAGCTACTTGTGAGGCTGAGGCAGGAGAATCGCTTGAACCCGGGAGGCGGAGGTTGCAGTGAGCTGAGATCCTGCCACCACACTCCAGCCTGAACGAGACTCTGTCTCAAAAAATAATAATAAAATAAAAATTAAAAAATAATAAAAATACAAAAATTAGCTGGATGTGGTTGTGT